TTTTAATTAAACTTAAAAAATTTAAGTTTTATATTGAGCCAAAAAGCATTCGGAGACTTTTGGCGGGGGTCTGTAATTAAAAAATAAAATTTATTATAATATTATATATATTTATAAAATTAATTTTTTTAAAAATTTTTTTAAAAATTTTAATTTTTTATAAAAGTAAATCAGAAGGAAATTCATAGTAAATAAGCAGGCAAATTTGCCTGTGAACCTCTACAGTTTAAGGGATAATTATTTTAAGAAATTTTCTGTCATCTGACGTGATAAATACATAATTTGTTAGAAAAAGTCATATGCATTTTTCTACCATCTCTCATAATTTTGTTTTTTAATATTAATTTATATTAATACTAATGAATTATTTAGAATGATAGATAATTTTTAAGTCTTGGAGATATAATCTATTATATTAGGTGTTCATAAATATTTGATTTTATCAGTTAAGAAAGTTTTTATAATAAATTGATTTTTAGTCATGGTGGAGAGGAAATGCAAAATAAATTTGTTAAAATGAAGGATTGAAATAAAGTTAGTTATTGAAATTTTAAATAATTGTTAGATTTAATTAATTTATTCTTATTGTAAAAGACAATTATTTTATAAAGTATTTGACTTTAAAAGAACTTTCTCAAATTAGCTTTAAAAACAATTATCCTATATATGAATAAGTATATTAATGATAAGAAATTATGTTATTGTTTTGATAAAATTTCTTTTATTGATAATGTAGGGTTAAATCTTCTAGTCAATATTACTATATTTTTTTTTTAAAAAAAAAGATAATATGTATATAATGATAAAAAGAATATAATTACAATTTTATATTTATTAGTTATATTAAATTGTTGATTTAAAATGCAATTAGTGATTCAATTTAAATTGTTAAATGCTGAAAATAAATAATTTATGACAAAAAAAAAGAAAAATTTATAATAATAACACTTTAATTTGAATGCAAACAATAACATTACAAATTGTTTATATACTAAGAAAGCTTAATAGTTCTTTTATTTTAAAAAAAACACTTGAATATTGAAACATGTAGAAGGTTACTAATAGGGTTATTAGATAGAAGTCAGGTAGATTTTGTAGAATAATAATTAGAGTATTGAGTTTTTAAAGATTCAGGTTTGATATTTGTTAAGGAATTGGGTAAGTTTGGTAAGCTATTTATTTGTGTATTAAAACACCAAAGTTTTTTTTAAGGAATTTGGTAAGATTGGTAAACTAGTTATTTTGGTATCAAAGCAACCGAGTATCGTTAAGGAGTTTGGTAAGGTTGGTAAAATAGTTATTTTAGTACCACCGCAACTGAGATTCGTTAAGAAGTTTGGTAAGGTTGGTAAGCTAGTTATTTTAGTACCACGGCAACTGAGTTTCGTTAAGGAGTTTGATAAGGTTGGTAAACTAGTTATTTGAGTTTTATAGCAATAAAGTTCCGTTAAGAAGTTGGGTAAAGTTGGTAGGATAGTTATTCGAGTATTATGGCAATAAAGTATTGTTAAGAATTTTGGTAAGGTTGGTAAGCTATTTATTTGGGTATTACTGCAATAGAGTTCCGTTAAGGAGTCTGGTAAGGCTGGTAAACTAGTCATTCGAGCTACATTGCAATAAACTTTTGTTAATTTTCGATATCTTTGCAATCCTCCTAAGTTGTTTAATATATCATCCTTATTAAGTTCCGTAATCGTTAAACTATTAATCGTATCATCGTAAATAATGGCGAACGTTTCATTATTCGATTCTAATTCTTCTACACTCATCTGATTAAAATTTTGAATTATCCGAGATAATTCTCCATGTAATGAATTATTATTACTTAAATAAGGTTGTTGTTCAGAAAATTGAAGGTTTGATTCTTCATTTTTAATTTGATCATGTTCTATTATATTTGTTTTTGTAATAATTGCATTTAATTTATCAACTACCTTTTTCATAACTGGACGATTGTCTGGCTCTTTGTCCCAGCACTCTACAATCATATAAATAATTTAGTGATCGAAAAAACATAATATTTGAATTTGAATTTAGTAATTATATATTTACAAATATAAATGTTTGCATAATCTTCAGGTGTACCAGAAATGACAGTTTCTCTGAGTCCTTGTAAAATTTCTATAGCTAAATCAATGTCGTAAGTTTCATCTTCAACATAAAAAGGAGGACAACCACTAGATATTTCCCATAATAGAACGCCAACGCTGTAAACGTCACTTTTTTCATTCAACGTATATTTTGTGATGTATTGTCATTTTTTCTCCGTCCACCAAATCTTTTTGGATCAATATAAGGAATGATACCAAAAACTTTTGACTGGTTAGTTAATTCGTCGATTCTTTTCGATAGACCAAAGTCTGCTAGTTTAATTACACCTTGATGAATTAATATGGGAGGTTTGCTATTAAAATCGAGTTTACAAACATAGTAAATCATATGATCCGTAACGTGATTTTAATAGCTTACCTCCCATATATTGCCAGAATGCTATTATATATAAATATAAAATTATATAATAATGTTTTACGGTAAGTTTATAACAAAGTAAGATATAAATTATGTAAGATACCAGATCACGATGCACAAGACGTATTTAACCGGTCCGGTAAATAAATTCAATAAGGGTGGCATTATAAATCTATCCAGACCAACGGAATATGTTAAACCTTCAGAATCTTAATTCTTTCAAATATCTTCATTTTGACCCGAATTAATGACAAACAAAAACAAAACTTTATTAAAAGTCTGAATACTAACAACTTGATGAAACTAATCCAAATCTTTTATTTCATAATGAGTCAAAATCGATATTACTTGATACCTTTATTATAAGATATATTATATCTGCTTGTGATCGCTAAACAATAATATTTTGGATATATTGTATGACTAGAAATGTTTAACAGAATGGGTTATTATTGGAGTGCCTGTTTCCGGATTCCCGATTTGGAATGCTAGAATAGAAGGAGTATGCTGGTGGAGCATAATTTTGAGGGTCAAGATTTGGAACACTGTGAAGCATATTTCTTCTTTCGGACGGATCATCTTTTGAGCAGCAGCAGCAGCATGGTATTATCAAAAATGGGAGATTCATGGTAAAAAGAGTCCAAAATGAGGTAGGTGGTTCATCTTAATAATATTTTCGTTTAACGATAACTCGAAAAACCGTATTTTCAAGGTCACGTTCGAGAACAATGTTATAATACTCCGATAGATCATGACCAAGGATTTCATATTTAGGAGAGCCAATTGTAGGAACCGACCAGGAGATAATGAAATTGCTAAACCTGCCATCATTAATGTAAAAGATGGCAAAACCTTTCACACCACCGAGAAAACTACTTGTAACACTATAAAAAGCCTCTGCCTGACCATTTTTAAGAGGTAAATTTGTGGTTCACATCTAATTCTGTAATTGTCATCATTTGATGTAATCCAACGACCGCTTTCAAGACTAGCAGAGACAAGTTCAATACAATAACCAATATGATTATGAGAATTATTGTAGCGACGCGTGAATGGTGTTCCGAAGCATATTTACGAGCTAGGAGAGGGCAACATTCTAGACTTGATCCAGTTTGACAATAAAAAGTACCAATATTTTGTTCTTTGAAAGAACCAATTTCTTTCTCAGTTAATAAACTGCCAACAACCTCTTGTTCAGTTAAAGGAAAGGAATGAGGACACGTTGATTGAAATATCAGAATAGGAAAAATATGGAATTGAATGACTAGTGATTTAGATGACATCATGAAATAAATTCTCTCGGAATATTGAATATTGAATTAAAAGATACATATAACGTATGTTTATCCGAAAATATTTTCTGAATAAATCTTTTGAAATAGAAATGAACTTGCAATGGTCGGG